CACTCCCACTCACACACACACACATACACACACACACACGCACTCCCACTCCCACACACACACACACACACACACACACACACACACACACACACACACACACACACACAGCTGTCGGAACTTCTATGCCCTCACCAACCACCACCGTCCTGATCTCATGACAACCCTTCGCCCATCCGCAGATGATGGCAATCAGCGGCAGAGTGTCAACACACCCAGCAGAGTGTCAACACAACCGTCGAGCATGACAACCCTTCGCCCATCCGCAGATGATGGCAATCAGCGGCAGTGTGTCAACACACCCAGCAGAGTGTCAACACAACCGTCGAGCACGATGCGATGCGGGAGAAGGCGAGAGCGACGAGATGAGAACAACGTCAAATGAGCAATATGTCACACCAGACCAGACCAGTTTTGCCTGGACCGTTAAACCAGCGACTCTCCAGGGGCCTTGGTCGTCGTCTCTTTTTTTTTTTTTTGGGGGGGGGGGGGTGTCTTCGTCTCAAGTGTGATAGCAATTGAATGCGACCTCGTATTTATCCTACTGAAAGCAGGGCAGATAACTGCGAACCTCCACTGACCAGTGCGAAAGGCCACTGACCACAGCATCCCAAAGAAAGACTGAAAAAGACAACAAAACGAGAAAATAACCCGCGACCTCACTGGAAAAAACACCTTCGTCCAGGCACAAAACGTAAAACCAATGTTTATTGAGGCTCGTACTCTGGTCCTCAGGAAAAGTGCTAAAAGATGTCCGGCAAACCCTACCGGTTCATGAATCTGGCGCAAGAACAGAGCCAAATTCTTGAACCGGTAAAAACCGGCCCAGGGATATGTTGCCACGGGGCAAAGGTGCCTTTAACCCACGCTAAAGACGTTTGTGCCGGTAGTACCAAATGGCCAGAGTTTGGGGCGCCCCAAACCGAAAAGTTTTTTTTGTTTGTTTTGTTTTTGTTTTGGACCATTTCTGGATTTATGCGTGCCATCCTTGTGCAGGGGCCATGCTAATCTTCTCTGTATTATTCCAATTTCAACAGATGTCCCAAAGGACAACCTAAAAGGTTTGGCGTGGGCTCTTTCTACCAATTATAGCCATGCCTGGAGCCAAATCTCACTAGCAGTCAGAAAAGCATAGGAACAAGGACCGTTCGTGTGTGTGACACTCTTTTCAGCCTCAGATTTGGTGTGGGCTCTTTCTATCAATTATAGCCATGCCCGGAGCCAAGTCCCACTAGCAGTCAGAAAAGTATAGGAACAAGGACCGTTCGTGTGCGTGACACTCTTTTCAGCCTCAGATAGCGAAGGGATCGGACGGTCCTAATTTTGTTGCGGAGATCTTTCTCACCCTCTCATTGACCATCAACTGTGCTAGGTATTCTTTCTCATTGTCGGGGAGGTTTTCATATCTGGCCCGTGTTTTGATGGGTCAGGAATGAAAACCAGTTCGCAAATTGGTAAGGGCCAAAATTTAACAAAAAATGGCCAGAAGAGTGTCAGTCTGAGCATACTGCTCTCTCTCTCTCTCTCTCTCTCTCTCTCTCTCTCTCTCTCTCTCTCTGTGTGTGTGTCTGTGTGTGTGTGCACGCACATGCTTTGTGCATGGACGTCCACTCCACAGCCTTTGGCACTTCTCACCACATACATGAAAGGTGAAAACTAAGGGATTGTATTTTCTCATGTACAGGCAGACAATACATTCTCATTTTCCACATTGCACAGGGTGCCACCCCCCCCACAACGAGCCGCACCGGGAAAGTGGGACTTGGCCGCAGGTGTTAGTATGGAGTAGGTGTTGGAAAAACAACCCGAGTGAATGCTAGGGGTGCTGATAGGAGCAGACACCTCTAGCATACTCGGGGAGGCTCCACCTATTGGTGGGGAGCAACACCTGCTGGAAAGAGGGTCCAGCGTCCCTGGACATTATAGGAAGGGCCATTTTGTAAACAAGAGTTACATAACCGTGCCACGTGTCCGACCTAATATATGCATGAGGTGTTGGGCACTTCTCATCTCACAGGTATTTCACGATGCCTGCGCATGCACTTCATCCAGGTTGGTGTCGGTGGAATTCTCATAGGCAATAGATGGAGCAGCCCGACAGATAAGCCCTCAATTCTGGCGGTTCTCTTACCACCATCGGGATAGAGGACTTTCGCAAGGGCTATTTTCCACAAAAAAAAAAAAGAAAAAAAAAAAGAAGAGAATTAGCTGGGACTGCAGATCCTTGGGGGAGCCTTGGTTAGGAAGGCATCATGTTTAGCATACGGGAAGGTGGGATATCGCATCTTAGTGAAAGAGTGGCTGACTGCCCATAGAATCTGCGGGATGAGCTACAAATGGAGGATGACTGGGGATGAGGTAAACAGCATCGCTAGCACTGGTGGGTCTGTTTCAAAAAAACAAAAAAAAAAGGTACAGATCGGGGATGACTGCATATGCATGGACCCCACCAGTGACCAGGTCGTCCTTAACATTAGAGTAAGGGTAGTGTCTGCATGACGTTGGGGTCAGTCTGGTTGGTGCAGATCACAATTTGCGATCTGAGCATTAGCATAGGTCATGGTGACTCCCCCGAGGTCTGACAAACCATCTGACCTTCCAATGGACGAGTACTTCGGGCACCTGCTGACGCCTGGGCTCCATTCTGTACTACACCCTGGACCTTTCAAAAAAACGAAAAACATACACAAAAAGAACAGATGAAAACCAGACTGCACAAAACCACTTTGCTGGAGGGGGGTAGGGGGAGGTGCAAGTGACTGGCCAAAGATGCTCGGCACTAGCATCGCCGGGTTTCCCCGTCGGCAATGCCTGATCACCCTGCGTACAAGCCTTGCTCTCTCACCACTGCTGTGGTGCAAACCTACCCGGTGGGCTGCGGAGAGTTCCAGGTTTGGTTGGTGTTGCCCAGGTTTGGTTGGTGTTGCCCAGGTTTGGTTGGTGTTGCCCCGTACTATACATAGAGTAGCGAGAGGATGAGATATAATATATGCAAGCCAAGATTGAGAGAAGAATATAGATTACTTAAAATTAAAAAAATAAAAAATAAAAAAAAGACTGGTATCGCATCACGGGTGAAAACAGGAGTGCAAAAAGTCTCAAAAAACACTTCACCAAATATAAGTCGTACCGTATCAAAACCGGTTTCATTAACTTTCATACTCAATCGGAAAACAAATTCTTATCGAGAAGAAAACTGTTCCCATGTCCGTACTTATTCCCGTGTCCCACAAACGAATAAATCATTTCTATCTCTGTCCATACTACTACCTCCTACGTCAATCAATAGTGCTTCCAGTACCAAACAATCCCCGTCAGGCAAATAGGGCGTACTTCATTATCGATTAAATACGAGAAACAAGAAGCATGGTCCACGTCAACTATGACTCTACGAGAGACGTTCTAAAGGACCCTTCGCAACTCTGAATCCAACCTCTCCCACAACCTGCGCACGTTATTCATAAAAAAATATAAAAAGTGAATATATAAAAAGTAACTCTGAAAAGTACCTTTCAAAAGAAAAGAAAAAAAAGAAGTCCCTTTCAAAAAAAAACAACAAAAAAGAAAGTCCCTTCCAAACATTTTGCACCCATCTAGCCGCTCACGGACAGGCAGGTATAATAAAAACAAGAAGGGGAAACTGCACGGGAGTCACAAAAATGAGTTATAATTGGAGTATGGGCCAAGATACAGATTCGAATTGCAGTTTGGGCAATGTATACAACCCAGCTTTCAGTCCAGGTAGGGTGCCTGAAGTGCAATTGCAAACCGTATCTTGCCCCATAGTGCAATGATAACTCGTTTTTGTGACTCTACTGAAGTTACCCCACCATGGTCCACGACTCTTAATCTACTGAAGTTACCCCACCATGGTCCACGACTCTTAATCTACGAGAGATGGGAACAACCGCACGTCTCCGAGAGGCCTGGCAAAAGGGCTTTCACACACCAAACAGAAAGGAATAAAAAAGAGAAACGTGAGAAACAAGACCCGTGTCTTCCCTTAACTTGCTTAAAAGAACGAGGCATTGATGATTCTGATAAAGCAGATAATCCAGTTAGCAAGCATAATGTACCCTGTGTCGACCGTCACTTCGTCCTTCCCTTTCCTCCACGCAAGTGTGGATGACTTGAGACTGGACTAGACTGCTTGAGAAGGTGTCGCCAGGCCGGGAAACCCTCTCCTTGGCACAGTGATAGCCATACCGTGCTCACCGAATGTCGCATGAAAAGGGAGACAGAAGAACCCGACACTAATCTGCAACAGAAAGAGAAATAAGAAACCATGGAACCTCTAACTCAAGTGCCAAAAAAATAATGATAATAAAAAAGCAACCTCTCTTACTCCAGCGAACTGATCCTCTTCCTGTAAAATTATTAAATCCTACTCTATCGTCCATCACCCATCTCCATGATGGGCGAATCAGTGTCCCCCTTGACAACAGCGATTACTCAGCGGAAGAAAAAAAAAAAAGCACGCAACCTCTCTTACTCATGCGAGCTGCTCGTTCTTTTCTTCCTGTAAATTATTAAATCCTACTCCGTCCATCACCGACCTCGATGATAGCGAGTCAGTGCCGACATAAGCCATTACTCACCCGTCGCTATCAAAGCTGACAGGGCAGGAGAAGACCACCGCCAGTGTCTTATCTATAGAAATACCATTGTAAATTAATGCAAAATGTCACACCAATTAAATCCAATGCTCGAAATAATACTCACTCCTGTAACAAAAATCACACTAACTAAAAAAAAAAACACTAACTCAACTCGTCTGCTCCAACACAGGCGAACTGCTCCTCCTCTGTCAATCCTTATCTACCGTCCGTCACCCACGACCACAGTAGCAAAACAGTGTCGCGTCCCGTGCCAATCCTTACTCTTATGGTAAATTGCATTAAAAAAAATACCCCTAACTCACCTTACTCGTATATCGTTCAACCCAGGCGAACTGCTCCTTCCTGTTAAATCCTATACTACTACAGTCCGTCAGTCACCCCCGTGATAAGAAATACAGTGTCGCGTCCGGCAGTCGTGCCTACGCGCCGCATCGCTATAACGATGCTTACATGCTCGTTATAACGAGGACCAGATGCTGGTGTAGAATTCAGCGAAGCACAGGCTCTCATTGGTACGAGAATCCTTATTCCTGTGGTAAACTACATAGGCTCTCACTAACTGCTATCTTCCAGCGTTTTGCCCGACTGCAGTGATTACTCACCCATCGTTATAAATAGCTTACAGGCCAGGTGACGGAAGAGATGCTGACACAGGTCCAGGACGGCACACGTTCTCGATGGTGCTGACAATCGTCTCCGGCACAAGAAGTTCGCCGATGAGGTGCACAGTCGCATTAGGCGACTTCAAAGCGTCCGGGCCCGTGATTGACGCGTAACCTTCGAGAACGACATTCCCGTTAACGTCCTTGACGTCAATGGGCATGCCGGAGGCAGAGGTCAGCTGCGTCTTCGTCGCCACCTCCGCAGCAGTGAAGTTCCCGGAAGTCACGAAGTGGTACAGCATAATCTGACTCAGAACGTCAAGCGGCCCTTGGCCAGTGGTAGCGCACCTCCACAGCTCGGGATCCAGCTTCATGAAGCTATCATCGGTCGGAGCGAAAACCGTGATGGGACCTTGATTCACGCTGTCACGCAGACGAGACTCGACGCGAGAGATCTGTAAGGCGTAGTAGAACTTCTTAAGACAGCAGTGATTGGTGATGGCGCTGATTAGAGCGTCACCTGCGCTCGTGTCTACTTCTGCGGCTACAGAGAAAGGAGCGAGGAGAAGGAGAATCGCCAAAGTGGCGGTAGCAACGGACACAGCAGCCGCCATAGCTGATACCTAAGGAAGAGAGACGAAGAGGGACAGGACGTCTAAAGTGCACAGATATCAAACTCTCGAACTCCACTCTCTCTTGGACTGACAGCGAACAGTGAAGAGGAGAGAAGCACAAAGTCACAGCGAAAGCAACGGCGGCGGCGATAGCAGCAGCGATAGCGGCAGCGGCAGCGGCAGCGGCAGCAACAGCGGCAGCAACAGCGGCAGCGACAGCGGCAGGGGTCGCAGCAGCGATAGCGGCAGCGATTGAGGCAGCGGCAGCGGCGATGGCGAAGGTTGAAGAAGCAAGGAGAACTATGGCACTCGGCTGTGTAGGGAAGCTCGGCGATAAAGAGGATCGACGATGGTGTTGAGCTTCGACAACCACTCCTTCGTTGTTACGGCGCCCCCTTGCTCTTGAAGTGTCCCGCTCCGTTCTTATTTTTATGAGAGAGATGCATAGCACGTCTTACCCCGACGCGTGTGCTCAGAGGCGGGAAGTAGGGGCTCGCCGCACCGCTCTGCAAACGCCAACATTCCGAATGCATGTGGACAGGTTTCTCTCTCCCAATGCATTCATAATGAATCAGGGTTTCTCAAACAAAAGGTACGGCGAGGTCGTACACAGCGTACACAGCAGCTTTCACGACACGTGTTCTGTCGCGAAATACTCGTGCGCATGAGTCGGCCGACTTCATGGGGTCCGTACCTCGAAACAATCGACTACGGGGGCTGGGTCCCGCTTGCACGAATTATGAGATACTGACCGTACATAGCGAAGATCAACGGCCAAAAACTCCTAATTTGCGCAAGTGGGACCTTCGCCGGGAATCGCCTCACCACTATCGAAATGTGCGAAATAGGAATGAACCCGCTAGAACACGGACAGATGCGCCAGCCACTTCTTTTTTTTTTTTTTTTTTTTTTTTTTTTTTTTTTTTTTTTTTCTCGAGTGGTGTGGCGAGGCCCTTCATGGGTCGGCCATCCTGGGGCGTGGTCCCACTAGCAACGAGGATCGGATCGAATGCCTGAATCTGGACGTGTTTGTAGAGAGGTGCAGGAAATAGAGATTGAACTGCTTTTCTGCCTCTCTCCATAAAACACATCCAGCTTCAGGCATTCGATCCGATCCTCTTTGCTAGTGGGACCTCGGCCCTGGCCTGTCCTACTCGAAAGGGAGATTGAAAATTCATAAAGTCGAAAATTAAAATTTGAGAAACTAGTTGCTCTGCGCTTACCCCTTATAATGCGGGTCGGGACATCCTTTAAAACTGGAACGATAATTGGGTCCCTGAATGCATCTACGCCTGCGGTTTTCTACAAATGAAATAAAAAAGGAAAAAAACGTTTGTGTCGTGCCCACCTGGCCAGCTATCCTACTTCATGCATGTAGCGCAGATGATCAAAGGATCGCCAGCTATCCTACTTCATGCATGTCGCGCAGATGATCAAAGGATCCTTCTCCCGACTGTTCGACTGTTGCACGTATTATCGAGATCTCTCGAAGAACATGGAAAGATCTTTTGTGCACATGGAGAGTCGATGTTCGGAGGTCCTTAAATGTCCAAATCCTCCGAAGATTACGAATCCAATAAGAGACAAGTAATGAGATGCCAAATTTGATGATAACTCAGAGGTTTCGATAGAACAAAATGCCCTGGCCCAGGCCCCAGAATCGAGGGGAATGGGGTGGGTGGAAGCCCTGAGAAAAAGGCATCTTTCTCCGTGACAAGGAAAAAACCCTGAGAGTTACTCACAGCTTGTTGCTCAAATTGCACGGAAGAGCCTCTCTGCTGGCGTGTGATGCGCAAACCTCACGGCCCACCTGGCATCTCGCACTTCGAACACTGATCAGAGTAATTGGGGGTGTGGCCGAGGATTTTTGGCCCGGCGGGGGGGGTGTGACAAACCATTTCCCGACCCCCTGCTATCTTTCGTACCCTTTTTCTTTTGCTTGTATCATACCAACCCCAGGAAAGCCCCGTTTTGACCCCCTGCTATCTTTCGTACCCTTTTTCTTTTGCTTGTATCATACCAACCCCAGGAAAGGCCCGTTTTGATTACTTGCTTTTGGGTATCGCATTTTCCTTTTTTTTGAAAAGCTTCTTTTTCGACTGCTGGTTTCTGTTTCTCTTTTTTTTGCAAAGTCGGAAAATACATGGGAATTTGCGTGGGCCTTAGCGAGCGCACTGGGAATTGGGCTCAGCAGTTGGGAATTCCAAAACAAGCGGAGCTCCGACGTGTCCTTTTTGAGTGTGTGAATGTCCTTGGGCGCGTCGAGGAAAACCCTCGGAATTTGGCGTGAATACGAATAGGCGTAGGATTTTCTTTTCCCGCGTCGCTTTTTCGCGCGTGGATATGGTGATCTCAATTTTGAATTAGGATAGAAGCAAGCCGTAACTGTTTCGGTGCCTTTTTCCTTTTTTTGTTGACGGCAGGGTTGTCAACCCCCGGCCAGGGGGCCCCGGCGGGGGTCCCGGGGGTCGGGGGTCGGCACCCCTGGCCCCGGAAAAATATTCGCCGAAAAAAAAAAACAAAAAAACGGGGGGTGCGCAACGACGCCGCGCATCCCCTGGGACTTACTTTGT